GGTAGCATCCTTCACAACAGCCAAAAGGTGGAAGAATCCCAGTGTCCATGGTGGATGAACGAACAAACACAAGCAGTGTATCCATACAACGGAATGTCATTCGTTCTTAAAAAGGAAGATCTGGGCACATCTACAACAGGGATGTGGCAGGATCAACCTTAAAGGCATTAAGCTGAGTGAAATGAGCCAGTCACAAAAGGACAGGTACTATAGCATTCCGCTCATAGGAGGGAGCTAGAGGGGTCAAACCCATAGACACAAACAGTAGGTGGCTGCTGAGTGGATGTAGAGTTTCAGTTTTGCAAGACAGAAAAACATTCTGGAGGTCTGTTGCACAACACTGTGAACCTCTTATTAACACGGCTGACCTGTACACTTAACATGGCTAAAGTGCCCATTTTAAATAACACAAAATAAATTTATTTTATAAACATGTGTTGGTGCATTACTGCAGAGGGTCAGTTGTCTCCCCCCTCCTGCTGCCGGCAGGTCAGCGAGAGGACCGGGAAGCACCAGAAACCGCCCACAGTCCCACACAGAGGGTTTTCAGGGTGTATTAAATATCTGCCTTGAAGACACGCTAATTTCAGAATACGCTTTATTCCTAAATTTTAGTTAGAAGTATTTATGCCAGGGTTTTACCTCACTTAATTAAAAACACAGAGTCCACGTTTGATGTGCGCTGTGCTGAGTTTGAGGACATCTTTCCTGGCCACATGCATTCTTTAAATAAGACGGAGCTGTGTTGCCTCACTGCCGTTCTAGACTGAAAAAGGAAGCAGCAAGACCTTGGCAAATCCTTTTGATCCAGTGAAAGTCAACTCCTCTCAAAATATTAAATGGAGACTCTAACTCTAGGGCAAGAGGAGTGGGAGGTGGGGAGGCACGCTCACCCCACTGTACAGATGAGAACACTGAGGCCCAGAAAAGCAAAGTGACTTCCCACAAATCATATCCACGGTGGAACTAAGGCTGGACTCCCCTGAAGGTTCCTTCCCTGCCCTCGGGCCCTCAGCTGCTCTGGATGCACTTGGTGAAAAGAGAAGGGACAGCATGTGGGCCAGGGGACAGCCCTTTAGCTCAGTGGATACAAAAGAGGCCAAAAGCTTGAGCTGATTGTTGGGTATACCCGCACCAGCTCCGTGTGGCCTGGCCACCCCACACCAAGGCAAGAGCCAGGGAGGCCTGCAGAATTTCTAGGCACCCCAGGGATTACTCAGGGCTCTAGGCATTGCTGGATTTAGGATTTGGTGAAACGGACACATATTAAGAATTTAGAACAATAACGAAATTGGGCTTAGCCATGACCCTGGAATAGGGGAGGGAGCAGGGGTCAGAATGGCAGCAGCTCCTGTGTGTCCTCCTCTCACCACTTCTTGCCCCTCAGCAGATGGAGCCACCCTGCCATGATGGCCAACCCCCCTCCCCCCGCAGAGAGGCCTGCCAGCCCTGGGAGGAATGCCGTTGGAGTAAGCAGTCAGGGCCATCTAATAGCCACCTGCTTCCCACCAGGGTTCCGGTCAGGATCACCCAGGCCAGTCATCAGAAGAAGGTAGCGACCCGAGGCCCAGGAAGGGAATGGACTGGCCCCTTGGAGGCCACAGGGCACAGAAGTTGGAGGTAAGGCTCTGGAGATCAGAGCTGGGTTTGAGATGTAACTCTGTAGCATATTACGGGGGGCGGTCTTGCGGAAGTTACTCAGCTGGGCTTCAGTTTTCTCTCTGGTGAAATCGGATGAACACTGGGACCTATCAGAGTTGCGGTGAGGATTAAATAAAACAATTCATATAAGGGCTTAGTAGAGGACACAGCACACAGTAGGGCTCATTGATGGTCATGTTACTGTTGTTTGAAAACTCAAGCAGCACTCCTTCTGTTATAATTCTTACTAGCTGATACAGCAGGTAAGGCAGAGCCATTTCTAGCAGATGGGGATCTGACTCCCATCCCCTCTACCAGGTAACATCCCACACACCATCAGTTTCTACCTGTCCAACTCTTAGCCATCCTGCAGGAGTCAGCACAAGTGGTCCCCTCCTCCAGGGAGCCCACCCTGAAGCCCTCTCCATCCCTGGTGGGTCAGGTGCCCTTCGGGGAATTCAAGATCCTGTGCAGCCCCCCCTCACAGCAGAGTTACAGGTTCTCCTTTCCTCACCTGAGAGCTCGGGGACACAGGGAGCACTCTGTCCTGATGACCAGGGTAACGACGCTCCATCCGTGTTCTGAGCACTGATTGCGCATGAGGCCCCCGTCTGGACTAAGTGCTTTGCATGCATTTCCTCACTGGGCGCCCCCTCCCCAGAGACGATCGCCATCACTCCACTTCACAGTTAAGGGAGCAAACCTGGCTTCTTGTGCTGGCTGCGTTGTCCACTAAGCCCGTGTCCTCGGGCGGGTTCTGTAACGTTTCTGAGCCCACTGGTGCTTGGAACCGCTGCCCCCACGGTCCCACGCTCTGACTTTCAGCTTTGTCTTCATAATCAATGAGTTGGTGTTCTCTGGTGAGGTTTTCTGTGGACTCACATTGGGCCATTTCAGGGCACTTGAGTCAAAGAAGCAGGGACCCTTCGCCCATCCCACTCTGAGCGCTAGGCCTCCCTCAGGAACTCCTCCGCTGCAGTCCCTTGAATGGCTCCGCCAGACTTCTGCTGCCCTCGCCTCCCGCCTGGGAGAGCAGTCCACAGGGTTTAGGGGTGCTGCCACCTGGCGGCCATAGGCCATTAGGACTCAGGGGAAAGGGTAGCGCGCTGGATTGGTGGGTTGGATGCAGGGCCCCTCTCTGCTTAGCGTATTGCCAGCAGTCAACGGTAACACGTGTTTGGGGAAGGCAGGGCAGCTGGACTCCAGCGAGGACCACCCATCAGGCACCAGGGCTTCATGGTTAAGTCCAAGAGTCCAGACTGGGTCCAGGTCCTCGTTCTGACCCTCTCCAGACACGTGGTCTCGGCCCACTAATCACTGTGAGTCTCAGCTTCCCAGTCTGGACAGTGGGTAGCCTCCCCATCCAGTGTTAGGGCCACGTTCCCCATCAAGAACTTGGAGCTTCTTCCTAGAGCATCCTCTTCACGTCATTGTTGTAAAAAGGGAATTAATATTAGACCCGTGCCAATTATGTATCCAACTCCAAAATCGTGTTTGTTTTAAGCAAAACCTGGAGCCTTCCAAGACCTGGGGTCTGTGCCGCTGCCGGTCAGCTCCGCCCGCCCCTCTCCCCAGGCACCTCTTCACTCTGCTCTGTGTCAAGGGCTCTGCCAAGGGCAGGCCTCCCTCCGCTCGGCGCTTGGCACCTACCTCATCCAGCCCTCACAGCAACAACAACAGGTGACCCTCGTCTTACAGAACAGACACCAGGTTCAGAGAGGCTGGGTCGCTAGTCCAGGTCTCTGATGTCAGAGTCTTCGCCTGCCCACCAGTGCAGAAAGCCCCAGAAGCTCCTGTTCTGTCCCTGAGTTCTCCAAGGAGCACACGACAAGGGACATCCTCTGGAAGGGGCTGTCCTGGCCGAGGGGGCCACGCAGAGAGAAGACAGCACCTCTACTCCCCCTCCTTCCGCCCGATTCCTGCTGGCCTGTGGAAGGTGCAGCCAGACAGGGCTTCCTCTTGCCAGGTCAACTCCTGGCAGTTTCAGTTCCCTCTTTCTGAGAGCTGCTCTGAACTGAGTTACACAGGGGCTGGGAACGTATCTCTTCTGCCCGCTCTCTAGGGCCAGGGTTGGGAGTGCAGGCAGAGCCCCCCCTCTCACCGTGGCAGGAGGCAGTGGGGAGGAGGTGTCCCCTCCCCAAGGGAGGACAATGAAGGCCCAGAGAGAGATAGGGCTCACCTGAGAGCCCACACGTCAGGGCAGCAAAGCCTCCTGCCAGGCTCCTGCCCAAGGCCCGCTGCCCTCCTCCTCTGGTAGGCGGGAGTACATGAGTATCATCAAAACTGGCCGCAGGAGGAGAAGGCCCTTTCCCACAGTCCAGAGACACTCAGCTGGCCAGGCAGTCTGGGCCAGGGAGACGGATGGGCAGAGAGGAAAGGCTGTGGAACGTGGCCAGCCACCTTCCACTCAGTTGGCTCAGCCCCATGTGCGTTTGCAGCCCCTGAAGCCCCTCAGAGTGGCCAGTGGGCTTCTGCTTATGCAGCCACCTGCTGGGGAGGTACAGCTGTCTGTACTGAGCAGGGGCACAGCACTGGCCAGAGCCCTGGGCTCTACCTGAGCTGTCCAACCTGCACGTGGCTCCTCTTCCACACAAGCCAGTCCACATGCCCGCAGTGCTACTATGAGAGCCACCACCTGGAGGAAGAATGGTGTGGATGAAGGCAGAGGTCAGGCCCACCCTTTCACAGCCACAGAAAGCCAGTGACTGCCAACAGACCGCAGCCAGGTGGGAGGCCTGGAGCAGACTCTCACACAGCCCCCCAGAGGAGCCCACTCTGTTGAAATTATCTTGGACTTCTGACCTCCAGGGCTTCCAGACAGAAGATTTCTGTTGTTTAAGGCGCCAGTGTGTGGTATTCTGTAATGGCAGCCCTAGGAAGCCAATACGCCGGTCAGCACCTCCCTGCAGACTTAATTCAGTATTCCGACCTCACGACCACAGGCCTGTCCTGGGATTCATGAGACTGCAAGCAGGCCATCTGGAGCAGTGTGCCTGGCCTCTTTGGCTCCACCTACGGTTTTGAGCTTCATCTGTGTTGTGTGTGCATCGTTAGTTCATTCCCTTTCTACTGCTGTGTAGTATTCCATCGAATGTGGTATACAATTGATTTATTCATTTTCCTCTTAATGGACATTTGTGTTGTTTCCGGCTTGGGGTTAACACTTGGTTTGCTCTAGGGGCAGACACAGTTCCCGTTTCTGGGGAGGCTGGTTCCCTGGGGGACCATTAGTGGTACACTGGCTGGGACAGGCAGGGGCGGGTAACGGTTTTCAGAGTTCTCTGTTTTTCCTTCTTAGTTACTAAGCAACCAACTAGGGTTTAAATGCTCAGAAAAGAGGAAGCAGGCAAAGAGCAGTGAATAGGACCCAGAGGGGCTTAAATTCGATTATCCCTGGGGTGTGGCCTGCTGAGACCTCTGGGGCCACAAGAATCAGCCCTGAAGGGTGAGTCAGCAGCCGGCCTGGGCAGCGAGGCAGAGCAGGGAGGCTCAGCAGGGAGGCTCCTGCTGGTTGACAGGGGTGGCCCGGCTGGTACCACTCACCTGTACACCCTCCAGGAGTCCCCAGCAGGGGGGTTGTTGGAAAAAGAGAAAGGATTGTGTCCCCAGCTCATTCTGGGGCCTTGGGCCACGTACTGCCCCTCTTAGGGCCTTAGGTGTCTCCTGTATAACATGGACACAGGTCTCTTGCCACCTTGGCAGGTTGGCGGGCACGGCGGAGGCAGTACGAGCACACTGAGGAACTGCGAATAGCTGTGTCAGGGGAAGAGTTAGCGCCATCGTGGCACTGGGTCACTTCTAGGACAGCAGAGCCCACGGTGCTGAGCAAGCATCCATCTCGCTCTCTTCCAGACTGCCCTCGGAGGCCAGCAGACCCCAGGAGGCGGGGACTTGGAAAGTGGCTGTCTTGCTGTCCTCCTGCAAGTGGGGCCACCCTGTGTGAATGGCTGTTTTCTCCCTTCCCCTGAAGCCCTGCCTTTTCCTGGGCTCTCAGGGGACTGCCACATTGCCCCAGCCCAGCCATAATGCTCCCTTCACAGCCTCCCACAGGCAGTGGGGGTGCCAGTGGGCTGCCCCTGGCCCTCTGTCCAAAGAGGCTCCCCTTCCTAATAAGCCTGGGGTGCTTTGCCCCCACCTGACTGGTGGGAGAGAAGAAGGACATGGCTGATACCCTGGACACACCTCTCAGGTCCCTGGGGACACAGAGCCATAGAGACTGGCTGAGCTGAAACCCGGGAGGGAGCCAATCTTTCCGGAGGCCTCTCCTAGCAGGACTCCCAGACTGGGGGTGCTCACCCTCTCAGCTGTGGGATTGCACTTCTGCAATAGAAAGTCACACTTCGTTCTCTCTCCTAAAAGGAAAAAGGAAGAAGCAACAAAAATGGTGAGAATTCCGACACAGCACATCCCTGAACCACAGCCGTAATGGTCGTTTTCGAAAGTGCCCATCTGGGATCCACTTCCTCCCAAGAGCTCACAGCAAAAGCGCCAGAGCCAGCTGTGCCCCTGGAGGTAAGGTGGTGAAGGCAGAGGGGTTTGAACCTGCAGTGAGGGGAGGAGCCCTGTGGGGCTGGCAGGGGGCCCCAGTGGCTTCTTGCCAGGTGCACACCCCAAAGTGTCTTCCTCCTGCCTCGTTCCAGAGGCGGTATTAGCAGGGCTGGGGTTCTGCTCCCCCAGAACAGCTGGGGTCCTGGGGACACGAGTCATAGCTGCTCTAGGGAGAGTGTCTGCTGCTCTGGAGTGCTCAGAGAATAAGGTCACGTGAGCAGTAGCGAACCCTTCTTTCGGAGGGTCACTCTTAGGGTCCCTGGGACACGGGGTTGCTTCTTCCGAGTGAACTCAGTTTCTGGCCAGGCTGAGGCCTTGGACGCCCAGCACAGCTGTCCTGGACTGCTTTGCACCACACTCCACAGGGAGTCTTTCTGCAGGTTGGGGCCGGAGGGGGTGTGGATGGAGGCGTGTATGTGTGTGTGTATGTGCGTCAGGGGAAAGGGGGTGTCCTGAGGGGCCCACCCCTCACCATCAGACTGGAAGGTCCCCATTATTACCCAGCTTCATCCATTAGGCAGGAGGAGCAGAGGGGCAGGGACTCAGAGGGACATTGAACCTGTACCACATGTGACAGGCTCCCTGTCCCACAGCCTTTAAGAACCAAACTGCAATACGGGGTCAATGTAAGCCTGATTCCATGTAATTCTCATTTAGCTGTTTGGCAAATGTGCCCTCAGACCCCCCACTGTGGCTGCACCCCGTTTGCACTGGGCAGGGTATCAGCTCGGGCCACACGCTGCCCTTCGGAGGCCTTGGAGAGACGGGAGGAGAGGAGCTCAAGGAGGAGAGGACAAGGACCCAGAGCTCTGACATGTCATGCAAGGAGGAACTGAGTGGGGGGGGCGGCCAGGTGGGTGCCCAGGTCGGAGGGGTCTTCCTGCTGTGGGGGCCAGAGGGCAGGAAGCGGAAACTACCTTCCTAGAAGAGGTCACATTGGCATCAGGCCTTTGGAGAAGAGCAGTATCTGGACACAGAGTTTGGGACGGAAGGTATGTTCTTAGTAGGGAAAACTGTGTGAGCAGAAGCCTGGTGCTGGGAAAGTGTAGGATTAGTTGTTCAGACCCACTCAGCCCTGCTGGAGGCTGGTTTCTGCTGCAGGCGGGGGCAGGTCCCAGACCACATGGTGTTGGTGGCCCCCTGGAGAGCTGGTGTCCCTCAGACCCGTGCAGGAACAAAGTTGGCCATTGTACGTAGCCTTCCCAGCGGTGCCAGTGAGACTCTAAAGGACAAATTACTGGAGATGGAGTGGCTGGGACAGTGTGTGTGCTTCACACTGTGGCAGAACACTGCCAGCGGCCCTCTGTGGAGCCTCGGTTAGTCTTCAAGCAGGAGACCTCCCAGGCCAGGGTCTGCCTTCTGCCCCAGACCATGAGGATGCGACACACTTTCCGCGTTCAGGCCCATAAGCACTTGGCTTCCCATGGGAATGTGCTGGCTGTTTTTATCCCCCCTTCGGGTGCCCAGGCAGCCTCTCTGGTCTCCCAGGGGCAGACGGGGTTCCCCTCTTCTGTGCCCCTCCGTATGCCTGATGCTAGAAGCTCCTGTCTCTCCCACCAGCTGGGGGTTTGTTCTCTTATGTGCCCTGGACCGCAGCAGCTTGTCAGAGGAGGGCCCAGCAAGGGTTCTCTTGTGACTGTCAGATGCGGGGAAGGTAGATCCTGTCTGTCCTTCCCTTTCCGTGAAGCATGGCCACACTGTCCCCAAATACAGGTAGTCACCAGAATCCCACTCAGCAAGCTAGAACACCTTCTGCTTTGCATAGGCAAGCTCAGGCATACCTACATTACAGAACAGAACATGAAAATTCAGAGAGGGCAGGCGGCAGGCCCCACTCACAGATGGGAGAAGCAAAGCTGGGCTGGAATCCGTACCAGTGCCCACGGTCCGTGCTTGGCTCTGTTTGGCTGGAGGTGGTCTGAGGTGGGCAAGCGTGTCTGGGCTCAGCGAGTCAGAGTGGGTCTGGCCCCAGCCATGCCTGTGTGTCTGTGTTCCATCCTTCCCAGGCTCGCATCCATGGAAAGATGCCTCACGGTCCTGCAGGTGAGCCTGCACCACCCCACCCAGGGCCCCGCCGTCTTCGCAACTGTCCCCCTGAGGCTGCAGCACCACACCAGCCTGCTGCTGCTGGGGTGGGGCCTGGACACCCACTTCCGGTTGCATCTCCCTCGCCTATCCCACCAGCACCTGTCCCTGGAGCCCTACCAGGAGAAGGGCAGTGCAGCGCTGGCCTTCAACCTCAAGGCCCTGAATCGCAGGGGCCGAGTGTGGGTCCACGGGCTGATGCTGAGATTCCCAGAACAGATCCCCCTGGGCACCATCAACAGAGTCACCGGCCTTCTCCGGCATCCAGATGGTGGTCTGTGTGGAGGGAGGCGCCTCCCTGGAGGCCTTTGTCTGCTGCTTCCAAGCAGCCCCTCGCCCCTGATTTGCAGGCCCAAGGCTGAGGAGACTGACGAATGGGAAGACATCCCGGGGGAGCCACCTGCCCCAGGTTCAGAGCGACTGGCTCCAGGCCACCTGGGCTTTCTCCGTGGCCCTTCCCAGACTGGGGACAGCTCACCCCAGCCAAGCATGGGAGGAGGCCCAGAAATACAGCTCCAGAGGGAGCCCGCAGACGGCGCGCTCTGCTAGCCCCGCCGTCGAGAGCACGCCTTGGCTGAAACAGGGCTGGAAATATTCGAGCTACAACAGACGACTCTGACAAGTGGAGCCTGCCTGGCTAATAATGAACCAATTCTGCGAACACGAACAGCCTGGGGTGGGGGGCGGGGGAAGTGTCCTCCATGCTTCCAGCTCTGCAAGGCAATGGGAGCGTCATATACTTTAAGAGGCGCTGAGGGGCTCTGAGAGCGCTCCTCAGCATTTTTCCACATTTCACGGTCTTGTCTGACTAGGAGTTACTTTATGTTGCTAATTTTGTGTGCTGCTTAAGAGTGGGATTTTGAGGTTGTAGCAGGAACGCATGGACACATGTAACAATTACGTTTGTGGTAGCTTGGGGTTACCTTCAGCTCTCAAATACCCACAGGCACTGGGGGCTTAGGGAAGCCTGTGTTTAATAAACTACAAGTATTTCATTAAGCTGGCATGCCCAATAGGAACCCCTGGTCCCCAGATGGCCCGCATGCATGCCACATTGTCACAAAGAGGCAGGGGCAGGAACTACAGAAGAGGTGTAAGAGGAAATTGGAAAGGTGGAGGCTCACATTTCTGGAAAGGATGCAAGCAGAGCTCAGGGCTTCCTGGGCATGGGGGGCTGGGGACTGGGCCTGCCTGAAAATTCATTGTCACCGTCATCCTCCTCATCCTCACGTTCCACTACTCTTGGTCATTTCTGGGTCAAAGCCTTGGCTGACCAGAGGGCACAGGTCTTCAGGAAAAGGCAGCTTCCCAGAGAAAGGAGCTGTTTCAGGATTAATTCTGTGAGAGGGTGGGTGGGAGGTTGTGCTAGAATTTGGGCAGCAGTTATTGCACTCAGGTTAGGTCATACATCCATGGGGCGGGGTGGTCTTTTCAAATAAGGGTCCGACTGGTAGGGGCTAGGTGGGATAGTTTTCTCGGTGAGCAGAGGACCAGAGGAGAAGTGTCTTTGAGATGCTGCATCCTTCGAGCCCTGTGTCCAGGGGGACAGGAGAGGCAGGAAGGAGCTCTGTGAGGAAGTGATGGCAGACGCATCAGTCAGCGCCGTCTTGGCCATGGCCTAGAGCCAGGAGGGCTATGGCTAAGCACAGGCATCCCACGCAGGACTTGGGCTCACTGTGACCACAGTTCCTGTTCTGTTCCAGGAGACCACAAGCTCCATGCAGATGGAACCATGGATTGCCCAGTGTTGTATTCCCAGTAGTCATCACAGAGTGTGGCAGAGGACGGATGGACAGACAGGTGCAGGGAAGCAGTCACCTTGGCTGTAGCTGGGCACGAGCCAGCTTTTCCGGGCAGGGGATGACAGCGCAGGACAAGCAGCAGGCCAGGCAGCTGGGTCAGGGAGACCGCGAAGCCACGGGCTGACAGCAGGCAGAGGTGCACCGCTCTCATGTGCACTGGGCCCTCGGGCTGGGTCCCAGCAAGGCCAGTGCTTCTGCCACATTATTGAGTCCCCACAGCCCAAATACAATCAGATCTCCAGGTGTTTATAATTCTGGGTGGCGACTGCTGAGGAAGGTTGACAGATTTGACAGTGCCCTGTGGCACTGAGAGACAGCTCCCACCCAGCATGTCTTGCCCCAAACAGAGGCCCAGAGGAGGGACAGATACCTGCAGAGGACCCTGGGGGGTGGGGTGCAAGCAGAAGCCGTCAGGATGGTTGGATTGAGCCTCAGCCTGCAGCCCACCAGGTCTCCACAGGACCTGGCTGGACCCTCTCCCCAGCCCTCACCTCCACCCAAGTGCAGTGGAGGCCAGCCCCCGCTGACCTCCTTCCTCAGACTCACTCCAGGAACACCCTCCCTTTACCAGCGCTCCGCCCACACAGGCCAGGCAGTCCAAGAGGCTCCCCGGGGGCTGTTGGGAACTAAGATGTGCCTCGCTGGAGGCATCTAACATTTTGAAAGGAGAGATTGGAGAGGGTCGCACTGGCCCTGAGGAGTGAGTTTCTTTGCAGGAAGTGTCGTGACGGGGTTCGCAGGGGGCAAACATTTTGCCTTCCCCTCAAATGCATGGTCCCCTCACACGCGTACAAAGCCAGATATAATCCAGGGGCTGGCTCAAGGTCTCCCTGTGACTAAGTCATAGAGCTGAGACAGGAACTGAGAACTCGGTCTTTCCACAGCAGCACGCTGGGCAGCCATGTCTCCAGTCCGCAAATGAACGAGCAGGAGTGAGTAAGCCCCAGGCAATGTGGGCGGTTCAGTTCCTCGGTTCATCTGCACTTGCAGGGCCTCCCCGGCCCCCACTCTGGGCTGCAGGCGGGGAGACCTGCCCTCCACCGGTGAACTGTGTGTACTACACTCTCCACCTCCGCTCTGTGTCCTCTTCTTCCTCCGCTCCCGTCCCGTGGCATCTGGCGGTGCGGATGTTGCCCTTGGTCAACCGGCTCCCAGAGAATCACACAGGACCATCCGGACCCTCCAGCTGCTCTCGCTGCATTCCCCCCACCCCGCACTCCCCACCACACCAGGCGCCCTTCGCCCATGCCAGGATGTGGGGCGAAGAGTAAACAAACCCAGCTCCTCCGCCTTTGACAGGAGATCCCGCAGTTAATGAACTCTGTTCGCATTGCAGGGCTGTGATCCCGCTTACCTTGAATGTGAACTTGCGGGCGGATTACAGTGAAATAAAACCTACCATTTGAGTTACATTCTCAGCTGATTGGAAACATACATTACCTCCCCATGACCGGGCTGTGAGAAGGGAAGTTATTATCTTTCTTCAGAGTCTGTAAACTCTTTATGGCTGAGGCAAGCTTTAATCCTGCTCGAGAAAAAAAAAAATGATCCGGGAATAAATTGCTCTCATTTACCTTTGTTTTCCAATCACATGCTCCAGTGGGAACAAAACATCCTAAGTGAGGGGATGTGGGAAGCCAGGTGATCCCAGACAGGAGAGTTTAATTGTTTTCTTCTTCAGGCACGGGCTTGAGAGGGCCTGCCGGTGCCGTGTGGCGTGGGGCCCCGCGCCACAGAGACGTGCACTCCTGCGCGACGCCCGCGCTCCTGAGCAGTCACTTGCCTCTCCCTTCCCTTCTCTCCCAGGCGAGCGTGGCCTCCACTTTCCCCGCAACTCCCACTTCCTTGAGGGCAGGGCCCTTGCAGCCATAGTGCCCAGCTCCAGGCATGCGGAAAGACCGGGGAGGAATCTGAGAAAGGGTAGATTGGGATTGAAATCGAGTCCCAGCCCATGACGGAGGAAGAGACCGTGGGGTTCGTGTTTCCGGAAGGGCTTTCTTTCCTCCTCTGTTATTTCTCTGTTCCCTAACACGGAGCTTACGTAGAGTGGATGCTGTAGATCAGATACCCAGCAAAACCACCAGGTCGACCGTTCTCACTGCTGGAAGGAGTCCCAGCTGAGAGGTGTGCCTATTTTCCTTTAAAGATGCAGAGGCAGGGGTGAGGTGGGGAATCTTCTGAAGATAGCAGAGACTGCCGGCACCTTCGGAGCGGAGCTCAGTCAGACAGCCCACCCTGGGCCTTCCATATTTGCTTCTCTGCATTCTTCCACTCACCTGCGGTTTGCTGGGCTAAGAAAATGGACCCTACCTATCATGTCACCTTGCTTGGGGGGATGTGGTGGGGAGTGTATCAGCCAGGATCCAGTGGGGAAAACAAAAGCCACTCCAAGTATTTAAAAAATTTAATCCAGGGAATTGGGTACACAGGAGGTATTGCCAAGAAGCCACACAGGCAATGAATTCAGATTCAGAGATTGGCCAGAGCGGGAAGTGGCTACCACTGCCATCCCCACCCCGGGGCTGCAGGGGTGCCTGAGAGAGATGAGTCCCTGGAGGAGGAGGAGATGCAGCTGCGAGGCACTGAGGGAGAGCGCCACATACCCTGGCTCCTCCCTTTCCCACGGCGTGGGTCCCCCACTGGCTGAAGTCACCCAGAAGGCAGCTAACCAGCAGCCTGGGCAATGCGGCCTGCAGGCCAGAGCAGGGGAGGTAAACAGTCAAAGCCAGCCTAGGAAGTATGCCCACTTCAGTGCCCCTCAGTCCCAGCCTGGGGCCCTGGGGTGGCCCCTGTGAATGGAGAGGGGCCCACAGCAGAGGGGACTCCATAGCCCAGGGCCTCCAGGAGGCAATCGGCCAACACAGCTTGCCCTCCACCAGGGGCATCCGCACCTCTGTGACCTCCAGCGCCTGTAAGAAAGGAACGAGAAGGGCACAAAGGACAAATGCCATTCTGTGAGGTACAAAGAGCTGGGCTCTGTCTGGCCTGGCCCACATAATCCCAAACCCACTGGGTCAACGGCTTTGAAACCCTCGCCCCTCTCCCCTCACATCTTAGATTAGAGGTGGGGCATCACAGCAGGATCTACATCCCCAGCCCCCTGCTCACTGACTCCCAAACGGCCTTCCTACCCTGAGGCCCTTCTCCTCCTGCGTTAAGTGGGGACCTGACTGGTTCTTGCCTCACCTCCAGGACGACTGACACACACCTGGAGGCAGGGGACTTTGTGCCTGCCCCTGGGACACGCTCCGACTGTGCCGGCCAATCTCACTAACCACTGCCCATCCTGAAACATTCCTCCCTCCAGGACGCTGCCCTGACTTTCTCCACCAAGGAGCCGCTGGCTCCAGGCCAGTGCTGGGCACTCAGAGGGGGTTTCCAGGCAGTGGTCCGAGGGTCGGAACGTGTCCCCTCAGCTGGGAGTGTGTGTACATACTGTGTGCTGTGCCGCACTGGAACCTCCCCTTAGCAGAACCCCGAAGGGAAGAGCCTGTCGTGGACCTGTCTGGACTTGTCCCTCTTAGACGGAGCAGCCACCTGGCACCCAGTGTAGGCTGTATAAGGGTCTGTTGTCTGAATCACAAGAGATTGAGCTGAGAAAGAATTTGGGCGGAGTGATAGCCAACCTTCAGGAATGAGGTTTTGGGAAGAAGCTCAAACGAACAACAAAGCTCCTGGTCAAAAAGTTAAAATGCACTTTAAACAACTCACTGCTCAGGGTGGGAGGAGCTGGCGTGAGTGGTGCGC